ACAATGAAAGAAGACGAAATCCTATCCGAACGCGACTCACCGGAGCCAGAGTGTGTACTAATTGTTTGTAGGGGTTGGCCTCCCAGCGAATAAGATACGTTCTGTAATGACATCAGTTTCAACATAAACACCCGATTACAAAAGCAAATAAATGACCTGACACAGTTGCAGTACAATGGAGCATCTTACCGCCTTGAGGTAGAGAATTGGATTAGACTGTTATCCGCAGCTTCTTCATTCACAGAATGTGTGTCCATATCCTTAAATCCATTGATATCCGCTAATGTTCACCTATACATTTCCACTCTAGAAGATAGGGTCTTTCGTTTATTGCAGATGTGCTGTGTTAAAATGGGAATTCTGAAAAAGATTGTGACACAATTCACACTCGAATCTATTAACCAAAGGTTTAGGCGGTACACGGACATATTTCCTTTACGTTGTTGAATTCAGTTTGTGTTTTTGCCCGCATTTTGTAAGGAAAATGACACCGGATACAAATGCAATGGTTTACTTTGTCAGGTAAACATTTAACGTGAAGCATTAATGCCCGGATAAGTACAAAGTAAATAATCATAATAATGATGCAGCGACTGATAAACACACTGCAAGCACACAGCCGAGCTCACGAGCAAACCTACACCCCCTGCTTTTGATTCTCGACTGCACGGATTATGTAGATCTGCGGGTTCAACAGTCAGATAATGGCTTATACGTTTGTTCTGGAGTAATTATGACAGTACAAAAACTAGAATGTTATTAAAACTTAAATGAGTAGAACATGAATGTCACGAAACTGAAGGGTGCATCACGTCATGCAGCAAGCTTTGGTGTCAATGCAGCTGTACGTATGGTTGCAAGGTTGCAACGTAATAGTATTTCTCACATACGTATATGTCTCCGTATATCATGTTAAAATACCCCATGGTATAACCGTTTCCACCGGGATGAGAGTGGATTCTTTCTGGATGCAGTGTAAGAACATTCTCTCTCCTCCTTTATCAATCTTTTACAACAATACGATACCTTTGCAATTCACTTAAATACCCAACGTAGTCATTGAAACTTGTGATACTATGGTAGTACTTGATGATATCGGCGTAAAAGGTAGTTCAAATTATTACATACTGCCTTTCTCAGTTATCTCCTCTTTATCGAAGTGTGACTAAATAAATTAACACGTCATTAGCTTTGAAATGAAGAAATATTGATATTTATTTGATAGAGATGAATGTTTTAAACTTTTTTTCAGTCAGTTAAATACTCAATCCCTTGTATATATTGAAAAAATAATACAGTTTATGTCTGTTTAAAATGCCAAATTTTCAAATAAATTTAGTTTTTAAATTTTAAATTTTAAATTTTATGAAGCTTGATAGTAACAATTAAAGCCATCCGAGTGACTCTTACGTTTATGAATACGTACAGTTCAGTTTTGTCATGAATAGTTATGTGTTTCAAATACAATTGTTGCTTTAACAACAGTTTGCAAAAGCATGACTGTGTTTTGTAGTTATTAACAATCGAAATAATGAATTATGGCTTGATTATTTTCAAAACACATTAATTCCAACCAACTTTCGAAAAGTTCGAAAACGACCTCGCATGTCACAATGCATAATGGCATGACTGATAGCCTCCATTTCCATGCTTTTTCGTGGGTATGAAATTCCACTTTCAATAACGCCAGAAAAATCTTTAAAGAGCATATTTCAGTAGTAATGCCTTTTTTGAAAAGCTGGTCACGGTATAGTGTTTCCTCTTCTGATGTAAAACATAACGTGTACTGAACCCTAAGGAGCTAATGCTCTTGTTTATTTCCTCAATTCGGTGTCCTTTGACAATTAACATCGCAATTCAGACCATGGAGAATGGCTAAAGTGGGGAATGGCCGCCGTAGCGGAAATCGCGAGGAGGGTAAACGACTCTCTGTAAAAAATAACGCTTTACATAAAGTTAGTTTCAAGAAGGCTTAAGTTATAAAGAAACAATAGCAAGTTTAACATCCATTACTTTCGGAAATATGTTGTGAGGGGTTTGTTAACCGGGGAAAGCGTCCATTTCCTCGAAGAGGATCGCCTTTCATTTCGAGAGATGCTTTTAGAAGTGATTGGGGGTCGGCAAGGATTCTCTCTCGGTCCTTATCTTTTCCTATTGACCGGCCAGAGGGCGAAAAGCTCTAATAGACGAGCAAATGTCGCCAACTGACTCATCTAAAACAAGAGTAAATGTTAAATAATACTCTTGAAATTAGGAACAACAGTCAGTTCCTTCCTAGGATTACCTTAATTTCCTTCTTGGAGAGCGCCGAAGTGGCAGTAGCCTCGAGTCAACTTCAGCTTCCTCAGACGCGATTCCTCATTGATTTTTCCTGCTTCTTGCTCTAATGTGGAATGTCGATACAGATAGCAAAAAAAAGGTTTCACGAACCTCACTTAAGAGGGACAGTGGGATCTCACAGCGAACAAATTAAAGGGATGTAACTTCGGGTTGAAGTTTATAAAAATATCTCGAATATTTGGACTTTCGAGTTGGTTAATTTGAAAATGCACATGCATCTTATTCCCCAGTGTAGGTGTAACAGTTTGTCAGGTGGAAGACAGCTGTTTGATTAATGTCAGTTCGCAAACCCGTGAAACATAACAGACTTTCGATGATCTGTCATATGCGTCCAATTACTCGGCAGTATAACTTAAATTTTCACTGGATATGTGTCACATACGCCCTTAGATTCCGAGTTTATTTCAGCATGTTGAAATCAGCTTAATGTCGCCCAACGTAATTTTGATAACATCCGTTTGAGAGAACGGGTATGACGCTAATAGACCGGCGGTCGATTTGGGGACGAATCTGTCTTGGTGCAAATCTGCACAGCGAATTGCGCCGGACTGTAAATAAGCTTATCTGGACCACACAATCAAGTGATTGATATTGTGAACAACGACCCGCTACCAACCAAGTCATCGAGTCGGACCACCCGATCCATTTGGTCGTCCGTTACGACGAGCATAAACTGCCGGGGCCTATTCTAATCCGGAATCCCAGCTGGCGATTGTATATAAAGACTAAAGAATACATAATGTAGCCTATATATACTCGACAGACAATTATGAAAACGTGTGAGTGTGTGGAAATGAAAATAATATTTATTGTATGCAATACAGATTTTTTTTATTTTCCTAAATTTCAATCCATAATGTTGAAAGTGAATATTGGTATGATTTAACTTTACATGATACAAACTCTCAAATGACTTGTCTGTGTGAATACTTCACACCTACAATAACATATTTCGTAGCAATGACAAGTGCTTTTTTAAAGCAAAACTTTAAGTCAGATTAAAAAGGTTTTTTAACTGCCTTTATAGTGAAAGGATTTCTATATGTGTTATAAGAACCGAGTAGCGTGTGCATCTATGTTGAATGTATATTCATACGGAATTTGTTTTTATGACATTATTAAGTTATAGTGTGAAAGAGTAAAAGATGTGTTTATATTAAACAATTAATGAACATGCTTAACATACAAAAAAACACACATCAATTTTGATCCACAGAGATGTTTATATCTCAAATATAACGGTTGTGAATGTTAGACTTCATGAAAGAACGTTTCATTTCCTTGTAAATGACAAGTTAAGTCTTAAAATGCAATAATGAAATGGAAATTGAAGAAACAGTTCTATCTCTACCATCGACCACATCTTGGCTTTATATGAAAGCCACGGCACAAAACCCTGTCGCACTCCAATCTCAGAAATCAGTTGGCACTTAAAGATTTTTATTGAATCTTGAAAAAGTAGCTGAGAGGCACCAGTAAGTTTTAGACTGCTGCAAACAGTAAAGACGTATTGAATGTTTGAATTGCAATTGGGATACCATTTATGAACAGAAGATCTTGCTGGTTAAGTAAATATTTCTGTTGGGCCCCATTTTCTTCCACAAAAGCCGAGTTATATGCGTGATCGCGAGCCTCGGGAGAACAACTCTTTTGTGTGAGACATCTGATCTAATCGCGTATGTTCAAACAACCTGCTCAATTCTTTCTTTCCGTGCCTTTATCGGGTTTAGCCTTTAAAAAACGCAATGTACATCGCTTAAACATCGTCCTGAAACACAAACACCATATTTGTTATCTGCTTCATTGGCCAATCTATATAAAGCATGCGTAGGGGCGGTATTACTTCATTAGACGTCAACTCGGGTTTATTTGTATGAATATCCAACGGTCATCCTCAGAGTCCACAGACACATTAGCATTCACTTGACTAGCCCAATTAGCAATCTCGAAGTAAATATTAAGGACAAGGCATATTTACCTTTCTTCATCAGTGCTGGGACCATACTTGATGACATGAAATTATCAATACCAGGGTGATGTTTTCCTTAAATTGCCTATACATTTACGCAAATATCATATTTTGTATAAACATAAATTTCCTTTCTGTGAATCAGTTTTATGGGTGTTGTATTGAAGATCATTATAATTAACTTTCATCTTTCACGTGTATGGTATACACTGTTTACAAGATAATTAGTCCCCGTGTAAGGAATGACTGGGCATTTCAAACCTTATTATCTTATTTTGAGTATTTACTTCTTTAAATGACATTAATGTATATCCTTCAGTCAACTCTTATTTCTTTTATAATGCAAGTATAGGTTAGAGTTGAGATTAGAATTATCAATACAGATTATATACTAATTAAACAGTGTGCCTGTTAATGCAAACTGGAGGTATATGCACGCATAACAACATGCCTACCCATATGGGTTCACATATTGATCAACTATATGTAGATGCAAATATGTGTTGGCGTCCTCCTACTCTCTACCATCTCTTTGTTAGTTTAGCTTCATGGTCGTTGTGTGTGTACGTTACTATGTCCAACACTATTGAATGTTACCGAGATGACTTGAACTTCCATTCTATTTATTCCTGTGTTCTCTTGTGAACGATGTAAGTACCGTATTTCTTCACCGGAAGTCTTGAACAATAAATTAAATGGTTCCTAAATGTGGATCATTCCCGGTGTCTGTTGTGGTGTCTGCGTCTGTTAGAAGCCCCGTGTCTGTTGGACGCCCTATGTCTATTGGAGTATCTGCGTCTGTTTGAAGCCCGGCGTATGTGGGGGTGTCTGTGTCTGTAAGAAGCCTGGTGTCTGTTGGAGCGTCTTTGTCTGTTCGAAGCCCCGTGTCTGTTAGGGTGTCAGAGTCTGTTAGAAGCCCCGTGCCTGTTGGGGTGCCTGCGTTTGTTAGAAGCCCGGTGTCTGCTGGAGCGTCTGCGTCTGTTAGAAGCCCCGTGTCTGTGGGGGTGCCTGCGTCTGTTAGAAGCCCGGTGTCTGTTGGAGCGTCTGCGTCTGTTAGAAGCCCGGTGTCTGTTGGAGCGTCTGCGTCTGTTAGAAGCCCCGTGTCTGTTGGGGTGTCGGGGTCTGTTAGAAGCCCGGTGTCTGTTGGGGCGTCTGCGTCTGTTAGAAGCCCCGTGTCTGTTGGGGTGTCGGGGTCTGTTAGAAGTCCGGTGTCTGTTGGGGTGTCGGGGTCTGTTAGAAGCCCGGTGTCTGTTGGGGTATCTACGTCCGTTAGAAGCCCGGTGTCTGTTGGGGTGTCGGGGTCTGTTAGAAGCCCGGTGTCTGTTGGAGCGTCTGCGTCTGTTAGAAGCCCCGTGTCTGTCGGGGTGCCTGCGTCTGTTAGAAGCCCCGTGTCTGTTGGGGTGTCGGGGTATGTTAGAAGCCCGGTGTCTGTTGGGGTGTCGGGGTCTGTTAGAAGCCCGGTGTCTGTTGGGGTGTCGGGGTCTGTTAGAAGCCCGGTGTCTGTTGGGGTGTCGGGGTCCGTTAGAAGCCCGGTGTCTGTTGGGGTGTCGGGGTCTGTTAGAAGCCCGGTGTCTGTTGGGGTGTCGGGGTCTGTTAGAAGCCCCGTGTCTGTTGGGGTGTCGGGGTCTGTTAGAAGCCCGGTGTCTGTTGGGGTGTCGGGGTCTGTTAGAAGCCCGGTGTCTGTTGGGGTGTCTGCGTCTGTTAGAAACCCCGTGTCTGTTAGAAGCCCGGTGTCTGTTGGGGTGTCGGGGTCTGTTAGAAGCCCCGTGTTAGACGAGTTAGAAGCCCCGTGTCTGTTGGGGTGTCGGGGTCTGTTAGAAGTCCGGTGTCTGTTGGGGTGTCGGGGTCTGTTAGAAGCCCGGTGTCTGTTGGGGTATCTACGTCCGTTAGAAGCCCGGTGTCTGTTGGGGTGTCGGGGTCTGTTAGAAGCCCGGTGTCTGTTGGAGCGTCTGCGTCTGTTAGAAGCCCCGTGTCTGTCGGGGTGCCTGCGTCTGTTAGAAGCCCCGTGTCTGTTGGGGTGTCGGGGTATGTTAGAAGCCCGGTGTCTGTTGGGGTGTCGGGGTCTGTTAGAAGCCCGGTGTCTGTTGGGGTGTCGGGGTCTGTTAGAAGCCCGGTGTCTGTTGGGGTGTCGGGGTCCGTTAGAAGCCCGGTGTCTGTTGGGGTGTCGGGGTCTGTTAGAAGCCCGGTGTCTGTTGGGGTGTCGGGGTCTGTTAGAAGCCCCGTGTCTGTTGGGGTGTCGGGGTCTGTTAGAAGCCCGGTGTCTGTTGGGGTGTCGGGGTCTGTTAGAAGCCCGGTGTCTGTTGGGGTGTCTGCGTCTGTTAGAAACCCCGTGTCTGTTAGAAGCCCGGTGTCCGTTGGGGTGTCGGGGTCTGTTAGAAGCCCCGTGTTAGACGAGTTGGCCGCTGTCAGAAACCTGGCGTATGTCGACATCTGTGTGGGGAGATACGACATTGATCGCCACTGAATCGTGTGAAGCCCTGTGGTGTGCTGATAATCATGAAGTAGATAGCTAGGAGCAATTCTCCAAAGAAGATGTCGAGCAGGGCTTCAGCATGGGTGTATCTTGTTGCCTTAGGGAGAGGGGTATGGGAATGGCCTCCGAGAAATAGTCATAGAGCAGAAGTCGATAAATTAAGACCTATACCTACACAATGGTTAATGTTAAGTTCAGTTAGGAAATACGTTCAACACACATACGCAGCGCACGCGCGCGCGCACACACACACACACATACACACACGCCAAATTACTTACACACTCATTCACAAACACGTAGACACGCACACAGGCACACTCACGGACAAGCGGACAATTACAATCATAATCACATACACTACATGCATATGTACATGTATACACTTTCACTACACACATTCCCATCACACCCCCTCTCTCTCACCCTACATGCATACACACATGCGTACATTCATACACACATGCATACAAATATATCATACAAACACCCATTCATATGACCCCCACCCATCCACACCCACCCAATAATACACACCGGGTCTAGTTTTACAGTAAACAAATGATCCCAAATATAGTGAAAAGCCCCTTACTTCCGAACTGTTTTCACAACTTTGTAAACAGTAGAAATTATCTCCCTTGCTGGACACTTTATGGGCTAACATTTAGTCTATGAAATCTTATATTACTCAATACCCTTTTCGACTCTAAAATTAAACAAATAATTTTTCCCGATGCTGATTTAATGTGCAATGGACCTACCTAGAGCTGGCTAGACTTTCTTTTGTATACATATCTAGTTTTTTTGTTTTTCACAAAAAAATATATATATATTCCACAGTCATGGTACAGGACTAGACACTTTACAGTATGCGGTAGTGAAGATTATCTCCTTTTTACATGTTAAACCATTTACATAACTTTCACTCACTGATGGACATCACAATATAACCAGGCCACAGATTCTGAAAAACTGCTGTCATTCATTATTTTAGCAAATTTATCTGTGCTGCATAAATGACTGGATGCTAGACACGGTAGAATGTTATCTCCCTGCTGATTATACAATAGACAAGTGGTTATAAAATGTATTTCGTCCTCCACGATTCTAAAGTTTTCATAACAATATTTAAGAATCCTTTCCCCCTGTAAACTTTAATTAAAGATTTTGAATACCACATCTACATGCACACAATACGACTGTTGCATATCCCCTCGTAGTATGTATGATCATTAAACGATCAAAACCGCCGATTGTATTTCATCCTGCGATAAAGTACACTATTTTTTAATTACGTCATAATGAAACTGATTACCTCCCCCTTGATCTAACATCGTTCTTTGATTACTGACTAACAAGATGGCGCATTCACATGCATTCTTTTATTAAATAAAATCATTATATATATATATTTCTATCTAAAAATTAAAATTTGAAATAAATATACACACGACTTCCTTGTTTTCAGTTAAAGCTTGCAGGACACACGTCTTTGGCTGGTTTTCAATTTGCGAACACCTGGTGTCGTCGTTGATTTTAAGTCATCCATACATCGCTGTTTTACCTTTCACGCCCAAGGAATCTGTTTGGGCGGATGATCGAGGCTGGTTACTCTTGCGTTGACGTTATGTATTTTCATAGACGCTGGGGTGCAAGAACGCCGGGTAATTATAATGCGAGAAAACATACTCAGGCAAAACTGCTTCATTGAATTGTATTATGTTATGAAGATGCTTTGATTAATTTGTTATTTATGCTGTACTTCAACACTGCTGTAGCAGGCGTTCGGCTTGGAGGCTTCTATCAGAGGATAACGGTAACTGCTTTATTGAATTTTGTTATTTCATGACCATGTTTATGCATTGACTAATATGTTATATATGCTGTACCATAACACTATCGTAGCGGATGTTCAGCCTGAAAGCTTCTATCAGAGGATAACGGTAACTGCTTTATTGAATTTTGTTATTTCATGACCATGTATACGTATTGACTAATATATTATATATGCTGTACCTTAACACTACCGTAGCGGGTGTTCAGCCTGAAAGCTTCTATCAGAGGATAACGGTAACTGCTTTATTGAATTTTGTTATTTCATGACCATGTATACGTATTGACTAATATATTATATATGCTGTACCTTAACACTACCGTAGCGGGTGTTCAGCCTGAAAGCTTCTATCATAGGAAATACGGTAACTTCTTTATTGAATTGTGTTATTTCATGACCATGTATATGCATTGACTAATATGTTATATATGCTGTACCATAACACTATCGTAACGGATGTTAAGCCTGAAAGCTTCTATCAGAGGATAAAGGTAACTGCTTTATTGAATTGTGTTATTTCATGACCATGCATACGCATTAACTAATATATTATATATGCTGTACCTTAACACTACCGTAGCGGGTGTTCAGCCTGAAAGCTTCTATCAGAGGACATACGGTAACTTCTTTATTGAATTTTGTTATTTCTCGACAATGTATATGCATTGACTAATATGTTATATATGCTGTACCTTAACACTACCGTAGCGGGTGTTCAGCCTGAAAGCTTCTATCAGAGAAAAGACGGTAACTGCTTTATTGAATTGTGTTTCTTCTTGACAATGTAATTACTAATATGTTATTTATGCTGTTCTTTAAGGCTATTGTAGCGGGTGTCAGCTCGTTGTCTTTTGTTAGAGGAAAAACGGTAACAGCTTTATTGAATTGTGTTTTTTCTTGACCGTGAATTGACTAATAAGTTAATTATGCTGTACCATAACGGTAGGGGGTTTTCAGACCGGAGGTTAGAGACAGTTTTAGACAAACGGGTTTTTTATGTTCAGGAACTCAATTAACCCATTAGGACAGGTACATGTATTTTTTGGTCAAACCGAGGATCCAAGCCGGGGTATAAACTTCTTCTACGCCACGAGCAGAAACGTTACCCATACACCAGTCTTCCTCGAATGTTTGCTTTACTCATGTACTAAAATATCAAAAAGGATTCATTAAGTTTGTAAATATTCTTACAAATCCGCTGACGTTTTTTATGGAGTCTAAAACAGGAAAACGAACATCTGCGTATACGCTGTAAGACGTCATCACTTGGGAACCTCAGATTGATAATGCTCCAGGTGTAGCGTGCGGTAATAGACTATGTAACGACTTCAGTGTCATTTGGAGTTGATCGATAGGATTATCGTGAGAGCGTTTTGTCTTACGTTTTCAACAGTATTTCAGCTTCATATTGGAGGAAACCCGAAATGATGCATGTCTTAGACAACGAAATGTTCATAGTCAGGGCGAATCCACGTCATAGGATCATGACACGCCTAAGGGACGTAACTCATATGAATTGCACATCGTGAATTGCGCCGGCTTTACCAGCCTTTCTCCCTTGATTGAAAATACCCTTTAGACGTATTTTAGTACATGTTGTTGGTTCTAATGCATTGACAATTGTACAGGTATACTACCATAAGCACTTTCTAAGCGTACACATGTTATCACCCACGTAGTTCAATTAATAAAAAGGGGCGGTCGGGTAGCCTAGTGGTTAAAGCGTTCGCCCCGCACGCCGAAGACCCGGGTTCGATTCCCAACATGGGTACATTGCGTGAAGCTCAATTCTGGTGTCCCCTGCCGTGATATTGCTGGAATATTGCTAAAAGCGGCGTAAAACCACACTCACTCAATTAATAATATTCCATACTGAGCAGTCTTTTGCTGATTTTCCGAGAAAGACGATGCAGACAAAACCACTGTTGGTGGCATCGTGACGCTGTTATAGCTTCTCGGCGAGACTTTCAATCTAGTCTTCCATGACAGCTGTGCAGCGAGTGTTGATAACATTAAATAAATTCTTACATTCGTGTGTAATATACCTGTTTTTAGAAACTCGTGTCCGAATATATATATATAATGTGGCATGTATAAATATCATGGTTTAATCGCAAGCATACCTGTAAATATGTACACTGAACTTACAACCTATTTTAACAACAATCTTTGCAAACCAAGGTTCACGTTAAAGTGCTGTATGAACTCGTAAATAGGCCAAACAGTTCCAGATCCCGAAGCTATCTCGTAACCCATAATGATGTAATTCATTTTCCCGTCGATGTATATTTCATGGCGTAACATGCAATGCTCGTGAGCTATATGCAGAAAAGACCTCACACGAAGTCATTTTTCGGACTATGAGAATAAATTATCTTGAACGGTATACTAGGCATTAAACCTCTCAAAATAATACATAAAGAACGGCGATAACTTTGATGTCCTAAATCAGAGCCACTTGCTTCTGAAGATGACATGTGTTATATATTCACGTTATGTAATTATTTGGTGGTCCTGAACCTGCTTGTCCCCTTAATTACCTCCCCTTGCGATTTAGATAACGTAAAGCGGCATGGAACCACGATGGCGCATGTCGCGAAATAAACATAGACATTTACAACTGGACTAATATGTGAGCTACGAGTATTTTGTTGTACGCTTGTCTGTTTCCTCGATGCCAAATGTCGATCATTAACGAGACCTTGTCGCGTTTCTTGATTTATCGGATGATTATATTTATGTTTTTATGATAAGATTAGTTTTCATCTTATTGAAGCGTGACTCATACCACTTTGTCATTTTGAAGAAAATAATGATAGTATTGTTCTACAGACTAACAATGTCATATTTTACGCTTCTTAAAGTTGAAATATTTGTATTGTTTTATTGTTTTGCAACTGCAAATCTTGCACAATTCATGATGAAATTACTTGTACAAAGATGCGTTATTGCTACAATACTATAAAGAGATCATTGGAATCGAAATGAATAACTCAAATTTCAGCAATAGTATTACTTGTGAAAAAAACAATTTGTAAAAGTTAGACAATGTGTCTGTGTTTCAGGTTCATTTATTAACTTCCCTTTTTTTAATTATACATCTCCCAAAAAGGCATGCCTTTGAAAATGGAGTTTCACATTTGG